CTCTTGGTGGGGCGCACTTTTTCAATGACCTGAACCAAAACTGCAGAGGCATTCCCAGCATGACACTCATTGGAATGTCTTGCAACATTTGTAGAATGACATTTCTCTATATCATAAAGGTGGTCCTGCAGACAATCTATTAAATGTATGGTGGTTCTCCCCATCTTACAGATACTGCAAGTGATAATATAAACCCCATATTTCATGTTGCAGTTAAAAAAGAGTTTAACCTATGGTATCTACCACCAGACGTTGAGATCACACTGTCTCCCACCATTATATGTGAACAACATGGACACCCTCTATTCCCACACTTATAATTACTTTTAAAGTTCAGTCATGTTGTACTCTGAATGCCTATGGGGTCAAAAAAACCTGGAGACAAAACATTTCCCAGAGTGGGAGCTCTCTGGGGAACAACATGGACACCATCTTTAAGGATTTTGGCACAAACAGGATCATGTGACAACAAAGGTAAATACTGTACCTATTTATAATCCATCCTATTTGTCCAAATTCCAAACTGTATGCAGTGGAAAGAGTGGGCCTATAGAAGTCTGTATTTTTATTGCCCTGTATGTCAAAATTAGACTTCATAAGAAGATCTTCCCTGTTTTTCTGTCCAGCATCCATTTTGGGTATCCACAGTTTAAAAACTGAGAGTACAACCCAACAGATTCCTGCTCAAACTGGATATCATCACTACAAATCCTCCTTAAATGTGTAAACTGACCACTGGGATACTTTTTATGGTATGTTTCTAATGAGCAGACTGTTGCCGGAGAGAGGTTTCCTATTTAAACTAGTATGTACTTGATCATTCAGTTTGGTCAGCTAAACATCCAAAAAGCAGATTTGTGTCTTCTGCATCTGTCCAGTAAAATGTAAATTAAGTGCATTATCATTTAAGCAGGACAGAAAACCATCCAAATCTTTCATCTGATCCAACCACAAAGATAAGATCATCTATGTATCGGAAGTACATCTTGATGTATGCTCTAAAGGGGTTCTCTGCTCCAAATATGTAGGTCCGCTCCCCACCATCCCATGTAGAAGTTAGCTAGAGAAGGTGAAAATTTGGCTCCCATAGCGGCCCCACACCTCTGGAGATAATAAACTCCATCAACAATGAAAAAAGTATGAGTAAAGAGATAGTGAAGTACATCCAAGATGTAAAGTCGGTACTCCATAGACAATCCCGTATATGATTCCAAGTAGAAAGAGACAGCCTGAATGGCCACCGAATGAGGAATTGAAGAATATAAACTACTAACATCACTGCTAAGACAAGAATACTGAATGTCCCAACAACATTTCCCCATGATATTAAGCAAATGATTTGTATCTTTTAAAAAACTGTGAAGATGTGTAACCAGTGTTTTCAATTGGCCATCAAGCCATTCACCCGATCTTTCATTTAATGACCCAATACCAGCTATAATCGGCCTACCATTCAGGGGATCAAGGCCCTCATGTGTCTTAGGCAAATGATGAAATATAGCGAGAACCGGATGTTCTGGAATAAGGGAATCAGCCTCTCTGCTATTAAAGATACCTAGATTAACTCCCCTCTGGATCAAATGTGTCAAAACCATTTTATAGTTTTTAGTAGGGTCACGCTTTAATTTGTAGTAAGTACTGGTATCCAAAAGCTGCATGATAGCCTCATCCCTATACACATCCACCCCATTACAACTATCAGACCTCCTTTGTCTGAATTACGGATGACTCCTGCTGGAAAAGGTTATTAATAGAGATCTTCAAATCAAATGAAGTAGCCAAAAGGGTAAAATCACGTTCAACCAACCTTTGGTAATTATCCATTTCTGCAGTGCGAGACTTGGTAAGATAAAACTTGGAGAAGGTTTTAAATTGCACAGCTTGAGTTCCAGCTGTATAAACTTGTGATAAACACAGGGAACCTCCAAATCCTGGACTGCACAATGTTCCTGAAAATCAAAATCAAAGTTGAAAGAACACTCCCTACTTTGATTATCAGTCAAACTAATCTCCTGAGAGGCCTACCATCACCTGTCCTCCCCACCACTGCACCAGCGCTCTTTGTTACCACATTGTTTTAACACCCTTTACCGCCATGCCTGAAACCTCCCCTCACCTGTGCCTCTCATTATTGCATCCTTTCCCTCTGCTCTCAACATCTCATCCCACATGCCCCCACCTCACCACTACAACAACGACTGCCTCTGCACTTGCTGACACTGAAATAACGCATGCCTCATCGCTCATAGCCACTGTACCAATGTGCAGCTACAGTAACATGCCTTTCTGCATTCAGCCTGTTTAAAGAATGGGCACACTTTTAATAGTGAATTATTAAAACAAGCAGGGCTTTTTTTCAGCTGAAGAATGGTGAAACTCACCACCTCTGGCTCAGGCCCTCTGCTCCCTGCTCACCATTATCACTTGTAAACACAGACATCCAAATTCTGTGTTTACAAGTGACAGCTTGTCTGCCAACGGCTCCCACAGATCTGATCTCCTGAGCAGCTTCCACTTAACGCAGGATGGGACAAGGGAGATACAGGTGCCCAGGGTTTAGTGCGGATGACAACACCCCTACTGAATGATCTCCCTGCAAAGTGAGAGAGGTGAAGCCACCTACAGTGTACAGGGAGTTAGAAGAGCCGGCTTGGTGCTTCAACTTAATATAACAATAAGAATGTGAAGCTTTTAAGGGGGGGGGAGATGGGGGCAGTGGAGGGGGGGTTGCATGCAGTGGTCAGGTAAAGTGCCTTGAAAAAGTATTCACACCCCTTGAAATATTCCACATTTTGTGGTGTTACAACCAAAAATGTAAATGTATTTTATTGGGCTTCTCGCAAACTGCAAAGGGACTTCTTATGGATTTCTTTCAACAATGGCTTTCTTCTTGCCACTCTTCCATAAAGAAAACAAGTAACATCCTGTGCTCAGAGACCCATATCAGGCAAATTTGAACAGACCTTCTTTGACAAGATTGATCCCCCAAATATGGGCAGTGCTGTGCAGCTCTTTTAGAAGGCTGGGGAAGCCCAGGACAATGTTGTAAAGTAAGAACAAAGGTAAGGAACAAGTAAGAATGTTTTGTGAGTATACATCTGTTTTATCATTTAATAAATACGTTGTTGATGAGGTAATGCGCAAGGCTGGTGTGCCTTCTTTTGTTCTTACTTTACAACTTTTCCGTAAAGGCCAGATTTGTGGAGTGCATGACTAATAGTTGTCCTGTGGACAGATTCTCCCACCTGCAGCTCCTCCAGAGTTACCATGAGCCTCTTGGATGCTTCTCTGATTAATGCTTTCCTTGCCTGGCCTGTCAGTCTAGGTGGATAGCCATGTCTTGGTAGATTTGCAGTTGTGCCATACTCTTTCCATTTTCAGATGATGGATTGAACAATGCTGTGTGAGATGTTCACAGCTAGGGTTTTTTTTTTTAATAACCTTACCCCGGCTTTGGCCTTCACAATGCTGTTTGTTCAGTAATGTCCTCTAACAAACCTCTGAGGGCTTCACATCTCTATTTATACTGAGATTAAATTACACACAGGTGGACTCTATTTACTATTTAGGTGACTTCTGAAGGCAATTGGTTCCACTAGATTTTAGTTATGATTATTAGAGTAAAGGGGGCTGAATGCAAATGCACGCCACACATTTTAGATATTTATTTGTGAAAAATTTTGAAAACCTTTTATCATTTCCCTTCCACTTCACAATTCTATGCCACTTTTTTGTGTTGGTCTATCACACAAAATCTCAATTAAGTACATTTATGTTTTTGGTTGTAACGTGACAAAATGTGGAAAATTTCAACGGGTATGAATGCTTTTTCAAGTCATTGTACATAGCTCACCCCCAAACTCTGTACGCAGAACACCCCTGAACTCTGCACTCTGTGTTTAACCCTTGAACTGTAATAGTAACAGTATTTAATGCCCCTTTTAGACTCTCCCACTGTTAGAAAAATGTGACCACACCCACTATTTGATGGTGTGTGGTCGGGAGGCTTTTTTTTTTTTGGGGGGGGGGGCATGGTTGAATTCCTGCATCTATTTTCTAAGAAAAAAATCCCAGAAAATAAGAAAAGGCCATTTGTAGCATGTGTAACTGTTCAATTAAATTTCACAGCAAATGTTGTAACATCATCCATAATGTCTTGCCACGATCTATTAGTCAGCAATTAAAAAAATATTGTGTTAGACTAATGAAGTTGCTCTGTTAGAAATTAAGCAATGATTCTAAAGCACAGAAAATCTTGTTTATATATGGAAATTCAGCTCTATAAAAAGTTGTCCCGTTGTCCTGAATCACCCAAAGTTTTCACATTTAGTTTTGCCAGCATTGAAAGAAGAAAGGTTAACAGTGATCTAACAGAGGCTGCCAGCTGTGTGACATTCAATCCTCTCAGCACTAACACCAACCTCGCTGAGCAACTGCAGCATGAAATATTACAGAAGAGGAGTCAGGAGCAGAGGGAAGAACGGGAAATAAAAACACACTTTACAGCTCACCCAGGAGGGTTTGAGAGGAACTAAAATTGGTTTTACTATCTCAATATACACCGCAGAGGTACCAAACTGCAGACATGTGTGGTTATTTAGTGATACATTCAAGGAAGAGGATACGTATTTTTATGATTATCTGTAACACTTCTTTCAATCACATATATGTAGCTCTCCAATAAATTTCACAAGTGATCCAAATGGGATAACAATCAATAGAGAACTCTATATTTTTTTGTTTATTTTATGTATGTATTTACTTATTACAGATTAAATAAAATATATAGCCATTACCTGAGGCACAAGAATGGCATTGAAGGTAAAGGAGAGAAGTGGTTTGTCACCAAAGTAGTTGCACTTCTCATCTTTAAATATAAAGAGTTACAGCTGAAATCCAACAAATAGCCAAATACAGCTGAAACACATACTGTACAAGGTGTGAAAATTTCATTCCTGGAATGGACTGTAAAAAAAAAGAAATGTTTGCTTACCTATACACTAACAACTGTTGTCACCTTCAAAGAAGTCCCCTTGAGAAGCTGATCTGTCAAGACTCGAGGTACCATCTTTGCTGAAATTTTGCTCATTCACAAAGCCTCTATTAGAATCTGCTGCACTGTTTCCCTGTTCATGTTCAATTCTTCTGCCATCATTTGCATACTTAATTTGATCTGAGCGCACGAAGGGTCGCACTCTGTCCACATCTTCATCCATCCTTTGCATATTTGGCTGCCCACTTATTGCAGCGTGGTGGACATCTTCCCACCTCTCCTCAAACCGCCTATGCCATTCAAAGACACTTGACTTCTTCATGGAATGTTCAACATAAGCCTGTTGTAACAGAGCTAAAGTTTCACTCAGTCTTTTACTAATTTTCATGCAAAATTTTATGTTAATCCGTTGCTTTGGATTCCTGTCACTCATTTTCTGGCAACAGTGCATCACTCACATGTGTTATTTCTTCTACTACTCCATGAAGACCGAGTCAGCTGGGCTGTGACCCAGGGGAGTGCCTGTTAGAACATGTCAGAACACGCTCGAGTGCAAATGGTTGTGTGACTCCCCAATATGCTATGGCATCTTGTGCTTTTTATCCTATTATATTTTCCATTTCTGTGAGTATCCATTTGGAATCTATGTTTTATGAACAATAAATCGTTGGTAATGCACTAGGCGTTTGAGCCCTACTGTTTGTTCTTTTTGTAGTTTATACCCCCACACCAGACACACAAACGGTAGCTTGGCACCTCCCAACAGTTTGTCCACAGACTGGTCTTCAAGGCCACCACACACACGTACAGATCTCTATATGTCAGATCTGCTAGTTCATAATCTGCATGCAATCTACCAACACACAGTACAATTGCATACAGATTGGCAAGGAACTTAGACCGAGCACATAGACACTAGAATGCATCAATCTCTCCAGGGATATGAGCCCTAGTTTAGAACACAGAAGTCTCTTAATAACCTTATAATTTAATAACCTGAAAGTGGGCAGTGCATAAAACATATACAAAGAAAAAGAATTATAAAAAAAGCAAGAAAGGCAAAATACATACACAATTGGCTATTTACTATAAAAATATGAGGGATAAAATCAGGAATAACATTTTTACCAAGATTTATTCTGTGACTGGAGCAAGTCAAGGAAAGTCCGTGATTCACAAGCCAAATGGAACCGGCTCCGTATGAATCACTATGTCCATATCTCAGGGTCTTCAATTTATTGAAATATGGATGTGGGCTGGACCTTAGCCATTGGCCAGTCAGCCCTGGGGGATGTTCCTGTAACAGCCTACAGGATGTTCTGTGTTCTGAAATGACCAGTCTCAAATGGGCTTGGAATGGTTCTGATTGTTGGGTCGGGAATAGGATTTCCGACACCAGTGCACCAGTCCAGTTGCGGCAGTACCAATCACTGTTCGTTTGTCATAATCAGGTACCATATAACAGTTTTGTATGTTTTTTTTCCGGGATTCTATATAGGCTACAAATACAGTTTTACATGTATATGTAGCCTAAAATGTGTCCAATCAGAAGGAGTTATTTTCATCACACTGCTACCAATATTTTAGCTTTTATCAGAGATGAAATAGATTCCTCTTATTTGTTGATATAAATCAAAGCTGGCAGACATTTCGGAGCCTTCTCTCTGTCCCCTGCTGTTTCATGTAGCTGAAATAACTAGGACTCTTATTTCAGGCTCAAGAAGGTGAGAAATCCATGTCTACTTGGAAGGCAAAGTTTTATTGGCCTCTAGGTGTCAAATCTAGCCTAGAAGCTTTCTCAGTCCTTTCAATTGCTAATTGAAAAACATATTTCTTTGACTGATTAAGGAATACTATATTTCTAATAACACAGGATTAAACTATATCTACAATCACATATTTCTACAGATCAAATCACATCTCAGCCACTGATAAAAATATTCTACTCTTGCATTTATGTGACATACAGACTGATACACACCCATCGGGGCGAACCAAAAATTTCATTAGCATATTGTTGAAGGATACAAAAAAGGAGAACATGAATGTACTATATTACAGACTACCAGTCCTTATACAGTTGTGTTCACAATAATAGCAGTCAGACATCACTAACCTGATCAATCACTTTTTTTGGTAGAAATTATATTTCTACATGGCAAATAATTTACTAGCAGGTGTAGTAGAGTAATAGAAATCCAACAGACCCAACACTCATGACATGCATGCTGCTGATTCTGTGTAATTGAATCACTAATTGAAAGGGGCATGTTCAAAATAATAGCAGTGTGGAGTTCTGTTAGTGAGGTCATCTTTCTTTGAAAAACAGGTGGCAATTATTGCCCTTATTTAAGGAAGGAGGGCAGCAAATGTTGTACATGCTGGTTACAGTGCATTTCTCTCTGAAATTCTGAGGAAAATGGATTGTTCCAGACATTGTTCAGAAGAACAGCGTACCTTGATTAAAAAGTTGATTGGAGAGGGGAAAACATATATAAAGAAATGATAGGCTGCTCAGCTAAAATGATCGCAAATGCTTTAAAATGGCAACCAAAACCTGAAATACGTGGAAGAAAGCGAAAAACTACCATTCGAATGGATAGAAGAATAGCCAAAATGGCAAGGACTCAGCCAACAATCAGCTCCAGAAAGATCAAAGAAGGTCTAAATTTACCTGTGAATACTGTTACAATTAGAAGATGCCTATGTGAAGCCAAGCTATCTGCAAGAAGCCCCCGCAAAGTCTCACTGTTGAAAAAAAGACATGTGCTGAAGAGGTTACAATTTGCCAAAGAGGACATTGACTGGCCTAAAGAGAAATGGCGCAACATTTTGTGGACTGATGAAAGTAAGATTGTTCTTTTTGGGTCTAGTGGCCGGAGACAGTTTGTCAGACGACCCCCATATTCTGAATTCAAGCCACAGTATACTGTGAAGACAGTGAAGCATAGTTGCGCAAGCATCATGATATGGGGATGTTTCTCATACTACGGTGTTGGGCCTATTTATCGCATACCAGGGATCATGGATCAGTTTGAATACATCAGAATACTTGAAAAGGTCATGCTGCCTTATGCTGAAGAGGAAATGCCCTTGAAATGGGAGTTCCAACAAGACAACGACCCCAAACACACAGTAAACGTTCAACATCTTGGTTCCAGACCAACAAGATTGACATTATGGAGTGGCCAGCCCAATCCCCAGATCTTAATCCAATAGAAAACTTGTGGGGTGACATCAAAAATGCAGTTTCTGAGGCAAAACCAAGAAATAGAGAAGAACTGTGGAATGTAGTCCAATCATCCTGGGCTGGAATACCTGTTCACAGGTGCCAGAAGTTGGTTGACTCCATGCAACACAGATGTACAGCAGTTCTCAGAAACAGTGCTTATACAACTAAATATTAATTAAGTGATTCAAAGGAAAGCAAAATCTTCAAACATTATTATTTACTGATCATTAGCTTTCTTTTGTTAGGGCTCTTTCCCTTTGTTTTCACCTGTTAATCTGGCCAGTAGCACAATTCATGCTTAGAGTGCCTCCTCTCTAGATGGAAGAGCAGCAGAGACACCTTTGGGCAGCAGCATTTCCAGTCCTGGAGGTGAGTGTTATATGGACTTGCAGATTTAAATACACTAACAAATTGAAGCCAGACTCCACCTAACATTTTATAAGCAGTTACACCAACATATTCTTTCCTTTTGGGATAAAGGCTTTACTAATGCAGTCATCACATCTAAGAACTGGTAAGCTTCAATATAATAAATGTTTGCTTTTGGGTTTATAACCGAAAGTGGCCTTTCTAGACATTCAGGCCTGCTTTATACAAATCCAGATATGATTTATAAATTTCAACATATCCATTGCTATCCTACAGGTGTTCTGTATCTACTTCCAATGTTGTATAAATGGTTTGCAATTCTATATGTCTCAGTGTTTTTACATTAAAAAAAAAAAACCTCCTTTAAAAACCCAAACTATTTAATTTTGCTTTTTACATTTCTGAAGCAGGTGCATTGTTTGCATTCTCTCTTCTTTCCCCAAAGGAGTAGTCTTTGCTGCTAAGGCAGGTTTCAATCACTAGAAATGTTGTTGGCCAAAGGGGGAAGGGTCTAGAGCTGCCGCTGGATATTGCTCTGGGAAAAGCCAGCAACACCTAGAAGAGACTGCAAGAAGCTTTCTGCTGTCACAGCACAAGTGTGTTCCTGATTTACAGCATTTTAACAACCATCAGACTTCACTGATGGGTTGAGTAGATGAGGGAAAGGGGAACACTTTGCTCATTTTTCCTATATAATAAAACTCTCTAATTGTATAAGTGTCATTTCTGGAAGGGAAAAATGGAGAACAAGTATACTAGAAAATATGTCTTTATTGCTTTCCTACCCAATATAATCATGTTAAAAATTCCCACCTGCTTACTTTCCAGGACAGACAGGAATTGGTTGGAAAAAGAAATTAGATTTAATCCTGGCTGTGTTCATGTGTATAGTATATGTAAATTCAGTTACAACATTTTAGTATAAAAGGTGAGCAGTTTCATGGCTATACTTTTTGGCATGTTTATTAACAGAGACCTTTTCTGAGAAAAATGTAGGGGCTCACATTCCTGACCTCCATCTGAAAATGCTTGGTGACCTCCTATTATACTGACACTGCTGCTTCACTGCTTTCTGAGTCACTGACCTGCAACATCTCACAGAAAGTCAGATCAAAGTCTGCCAAATTATTTTTATTATGTCTGCCAATTTAATTGATAAAAGTCTGCTAGATTATTTACTGCTAAACCAGCTGCTGTCCTATTGGAAGAAATACCATTAACAGCCCAGTTCACTTCTAATCTGTTTATATTGTTTTCAGTTTCAAGCCCTAATTAAAGGGCAGTTTTGGACACCTGAAATGTGTTTGCTACAATTACTATTATTTCTGTGACGTTTATTGGAATTATTATTATGCAGGATTTATATAGCGCCAATAGTTTGCTCAGCGCTTTACAATATAACGGGAGACAATATCGTAATACAGTTCAATTCAAGAGGGTTAGGAAGGCCCTGCTCCTTGGAGCTTACAATCTAAGAGAATAAAGTCCTATCTGGACCTTTTAGCTGTGGTGTGGCCTTTGATTTATATTTTTGAAGCTGGCCCATGGCTTTGCAAATGCTTTGTTAAACCTTGTTGTATACACTGCTTTTATACAAGCTGAAATCCATATGTACAAGGTGTAAAGGCAAGCAGTCAAAAGAAACGTGCAATTCCCTTGCATACTTTTTTTTTGAGAATAATATTTTCCTGTCTGTCATACTGATCCTTTAGCTTCTATACATGAAGAATTGTTGATCTGGAACACATATGTAGCAATTAAAATCAAAGCTCTGCCTATTAGTTTCAACTTAGTTACGGAAGAATGTTTGATTACAGAGGATTAGCACAATA